TCTTGTGAGGTTTTTTATAATTATTCATAAAATGGTTCGTACTGTGCATTGTTAGGTTATTTCCGGAAAACGGAGCTATTTTTGGAGCAGTTTCCGTTACATACATTGATTGAAGAAATGGAACTTATATATAGTAAATGTTAAGTAAAAATATTTCATATTCCTTTATACAGAAAACGGTATCTATTCCCCTCATAGAAAAGAACAATATGGCAAAAAAATAAGGCAAACAATACGCTGTTTGGAGAATTTGTAAACGTATTTAAAAAAATAGTTCTCAAAATGACAAATAGGGCCTCCTCGTATGTAATATCTAAATAAATATGAAATATTGCTTGGAGAATGACTATTCATTCTCTTATTTGAGAAGAACTATGGTTTTATTCCATTGTCTAAAGAACATCGTGAGATTTTGTAGGTTCGACGCCAATTTCTTTGAGCAACATGCCTGTCAAGCGAAATGTTATTCTGCTAAAAGTTTTCATTCAGTATCTCCTTCTACTGTCTGAAATATTTCCCCTCACCATTATGATACCAGTGAAAAGGCAAAGAATTTTAAAAAGAATCATGCATCAACACTATAGAGCTATGCCATGTTGCCCAATGGCCGCTCAAAATGTATAACAGTTTCTTGTTGTTGCTAATGCCAATTGTCTGACGTAGTCAGATCCATGTCCATGAAATCCATCACGGCAAAGAGCTAGTTGTATATGCCGGTCGTTATCAGGCATACAACTGAGCACAGTTTCATCCATGAACCTATTTTTAGTATCGTAACTAGTTGTCATCTCTCTCCCGATTAGCTTGGCCACACTCATGCTAAGGTCAACATGATGTCACCCATGAGTTCAACAACACTCATGGCTGAACCAAAATTTGTCATAAAACTCCTCAATTTGAACCATTATTTGTGATGTAGCAAATATGCTCATTAAAGAATATAATGATTAAGGATTAACATTTTGTTTGATATGTTTGTATGATGTGTAACATTTAGCAATAAGGAAAATTTAAATAAAATAAAATACATCATTAAATAAAAAATTGAAGCATAAAAATGCAATCGTTGTGATTAATTATTTGTATTAATGCTCTATAAAATTAGTATGAGAATAATACAAAAATAAGTCGATATTCCGCTTAGTGGTGAATTCAGCAAGATTGGAAATGCTATTAGAATAACTTTTATTCATAAAAAAATTATTTTTCTGAATGAAATGATTGAAAACGCACAAAACAATTAAGAACAGAATCCAAATGAAATGATTACTAATCAGCCATTCTTATTTCATAAAGCAGCGCAAGTAATAAGCATACAAATTTATTCAACTGTAATTTTTTTTCAAATCAAGTTGAAAAAAAAGTATTCGCGTTAAATAGAGATTTAATTTTCTTAGGTTCTAGTAATGTATAAAATTTCAAAAAATAATGGGAAATTTAATATATATGTTTGTCGTTCATTGTGGGAAAAAAATGTTGTGTCGGAAAAATTTTGCAGATCTTGCAAATATATACAATATTTTTTTATTGAAAATTTCCTTGGATGTTTATATCAGAAGATTTGATATATCATTAATTATTTAACTTTTAACAAACAAGTAATATTAAGAAAATCTTAAGTCAATTCCTACTTAGGTCAACAAAGAAAAAAAATTATTTTTTATTTACTTTTTATTAAATAGTTACAATTAATGTAAATATGTATATACATATGACAGAATCACAATATTAAATGGCAAAATAGAAAGAGATTTTCCTTTCCATTTTCCAATCTATATCTGGTGTTGGACTATTTTTTGTTTGTTATTCTTTTTTTTAATTAAATTTAATTATTCTAATAAAATAGTACAGTAAAATAAGAAACTACACTCTCAGAAATTAGGCCATCCCTGGTGGGATTCCAACCCACGACCTTTTAATTAGATTTCTAACGCACTATCCATTGCGCTACTGGACACAACGAACTATTTTCCTTTCTAAATATGCTGATAGACTAATATTTTTGTGTTACTTTTTTTCCATTTTTAAAAATTTTACTAATGAATTAATATTTGAAAAACTGTGTATTAACATCACGTGTCCTCCACTACAAGTCTAACAAAAATGTCTTTGAACTTGAATGGATCAATAGAAAGTATTTATTTAATATATATATATATAGGGAGAGAGTGAACACTAATAATAGGAATTGAATGGGAAAAAATACAACTTTATTTTAGGAGCTGAAAATTGCACTGGTGGAAATTAATCTGAAACGATAATAAAGTTTTTAAATAGTTTCAAATATGTGTCGTAAATAGTATTTGTGTATCTGAATAAATGAGAATGAACATTCTGCATGTTTTTACAATGGACTAACATATTTAGCATTAGATTGAAAATGTTAGATAAAAATTAAATTAACATTTTCTAGAGTATTCTCGGAACTTTACGTATTTTTCAGATTAAAGAGTACTTAAACAAAGTAAACATGGGAGAAAAACATTCTAAACTTTTTACACAGGATGACAACTAATTCGCTATCTACGAAAAACAAACTCTTGTCGCTCAGAAACAAGCGGTGAAAAAAAAAAAGAATTTGTACCAAACTTGTGATTTTATTTTCCTAATCCTTATACTTTTAAACATTTTCTCAAACTAAAGAGAAGACAAAAAAACAAGTGGGCGATCATTAGAAAAAAGTGAAAAACACACAAAAAGAACAGAAAGTGAAGGGTATACACAGACGAAGCAGGAGAGCATTTTCAAACAGCGCAGTTTGTCTATCGGTATTATCAGCTCTTAACGTTGAAACATTTTCTCAGCTATCGGTTCGATGATGAATGACGTTAAACTTTCTTTTTCAGTCATTAGAGATGAAAAGAGAGATTAGGATCTCTTCTGTGCTCCCGGGTCTGTCCCGGAATGGGTTCCTCCACCCCCTACCACATTTTATCCCGCCCCCTTTCGATGGAATACCCGCTTCGAAAAGTGTGGGTGACCCGATAAGTCTCAGCGCTGTCAACTTACCCACAGAAGCAGTGAATGAGAAAACCTTGGATATCGCGATGGGGGTGATATCAGATTGGGGATGGGGAAATGATAGGGAAAAAAGGGAAAATTTCATGGCAGTGTTGCAGGGAGGGAATTTCTTTAGAATGGTTAAATGATATGTAGAAATGTTTCATGTATAGTTCCTTTTTTTTTTTGTTACTTTTGTTAGTGCATCCAATAGTTGAATGACCTAGGTTTATTTTTATCACTTGTTGGAGCATTCAGTTGATGTTAAATGAGTTCTTGCCAACATAAATACATGTAAGGTAAATATGAATTCAATATTTATATTGATTACTTTTTCCCTTGAAAGTGAGGATTTTTACTCATGTATTTTTTTTATACACTATAACAAGTACACGCTTTAAAGGTTAAAAATTAGAAATTTTGTCGTATTATTACATTTTATTGTTTATGTTTATAAATTCCCACTTGACCAAACGTTTCTATTAACAATTGAGAATTTTAAAATATGAATATTAATACAAGCAAAAATGTTCAGAGTACCTATATGTAAAAATATTTTTAAATAGCAATATAAAATCTCATGACTGATCAAAAAGTTGCAAAATTTTAAATTAGATTTAAGATAAAGCTTTCCTACATCCCCTAAATAAGATATATTTTAGGTAAGCAATACAAAATGAGAATAATAAACTTATTTTCTCAATACTATCACAAAATATTGTGTTTAATATTTATAGGGAAAACCAAAATGTGATCTAAAAATAAATACTTATGAGTTAAATATATTTATAAAATATTTATTCAGACTCATCATCATTATTTAGTTTTTTTACTGTAACTCAGAAAAAGCTGTTGTTGACCTTTAGATAATAATTATCGTAACAGGGATACACAGATTAAAAGCAAAAGTTGCTCAATTTTCAATAATTTTCGTTGCTTCTTCGAAATCTTTTCATCCCGACAACCAGTTTCACTGTTCAACAAAATCGTAATAAAATCTCTTCGCTACAGAGCAAAAGTTATGATCCGTGAAGTAACTTTTACAAGATTTCGAATTAGTGATGTGAAAGTATTCCTTTTATAAAGGGGTAAATTATGTACTTTTTCTAGCTGTGCTATCTTATATGAAACAGTAAAAGAATTTCTTATAAAAAGAATAATGACAGAATCTGGCAAAATGAAAGTGCTATATATCGTTTTTTTCTATTGATTTAAGTATAAAGGTTCACATATCTAATATTCGTAATTTTTGCAAGTGGAATGAAATGATACTTTTTATAATGCATTAGGATATTTATACTATAACTCCTTGGTGAATCTGGGTGTTTCGATCAAAGAGCTAAGTATTTGCGCAGCAAATTTCCATTATTTCAAAAACATCAATAATAAAATATGGAATTCTATCAAATGTTGAGTTCCTGTAATTGAAAAAATAACATTTATGCAAAATCTATGATATATATTTTCTTTTGATGTAAATGGTTGCTACAATTAGATGAATAAACTGAATTGTACTTGAATGAAAGAGAATTTAATCCTATTGAAAATAAGAAAATTTCATTTGTATTTTTTGGTATTATTTTCAGCGCTTCGAATATAACATTGCATGTGTTTTAATCGAAAATATCAAATTCCTGGAACATATAAATTAAGGTATACGAATACGTTTGGAGCACTTTTTTGGAAAAACACCATTTAGAAAAAAGTTTATACCCTTTTTAACTTTAGTTTACATGTAAATAAACTATGCTTGTCAAAAATTTGCAATATATAATTTAAGTTTCAGAAAATTGGTAAATTTGCAGGAAATTTTAAAGGCATTCAAAAAATTTTACATGAAAATCCATTGACTCAATTTGTATAAATTTAATATCAAAACAAACATTATGCACATATCTAGGGCGTGGAGTAAAATCTTTTGGTTATATAAAGAAATAAAAATTCCAGAGCTATTCGAAGAGCCAATACAAGAAATTTACCATGTTTTACAATACCGTTACACAAATACCAGGGCATAATTTAAAAATTATTCTTATTATGATCATTACTTTACTTCACGCCCTAGAAAAGATTGTGAGAAAAAATGGTACCAAGTTTCAAAGAAAATTAATGATAATATTTTGACTTATCTTTTTTGATTTTCAAAATATACGAAAAAAACAATTTTGAGAAAAATGTATTTTTAGTACAATTTATCACATATTTTTTTTATTTACACAAGTACTTACTTAAAATTCACCAGTTTTATAGCTTACACCTTCTATCAGCTCATTTTTAATCATTTTTTTCTTTTTAGCTAATCTATTTTTTTTCCTGGCAACTTTTGCCACAGTCAGAGAATGTCTTTTAGACTCCGTTATTCGGATTTCATCAAGTTCTGAAAAACCTTTCAATGTTATTACACCAACAGTCATACCGAAATGTTTCAAGATATCTATCAATCCCTAAAATCCCTTATTGAACTGAATTACTGCCATGTATCCTCCTAATCGTAGTATTGATAATGAAACAAAAACATCTTTTAGAATAAATTTCCAAAGGATTCCATTGAAACATTCATTTGAATTTTGTGTTTTTCCTGGTAAATGTTTTTCTAATAAGTTTTGATCACATAACTTCATATATATGGGTTTGATAATGTTGATCAGATTTTGGGGAAGTCCTTTAGATTTATCTCTGTAGATCTTACCCTTTGATACGGCTTGCTGATATTTACACCAACTATCCGGTCCAACAGGGCATTGGCCATGCATTTGCTGTTTTGCATTAGAGCAACAATGGAAAAATGCTGCAATAACTGCACGTTGCATGCATTGTAAATCATTTACATTGTCACATATAGCAATGCCATAGTAATTTTGTAACTTGTCTATAAAGGCATCTGTCAGTTTTCCTCGACCTCCCAGGCCTTTTCGTTTAGATTTCTGTTTCCTCAGTCTTGTTCCAACACGCTTTTGTATGTGTCCAATACACTCATATTTTGTTACGGTATTCTCACCATATATATCTTTTACAGCGGCATACCCCTTAGAATCTCCATCGCCAAAAAAATTTACATACTGTAATTTTCTCATTTCGACAGATCGTTCGAAAACACGATAAACACCCAGGGGTTCCATAGCCCCAGACGACCCTATATGTTTTGCACAATTATGAGTGGTATTTAATTTTTTGTTTTTTGAATCGCAAAGTCTACACACTTTTGACATGAATTCAACGTCTAAAACCTTCCCAGTATCTATTGAAATAACAGACACACATCCATTCAACGAGGAATATCCTCTTCGTTGCCATGTGCCATCCACCGACACACTACACTGAGAAAATTCAGCATCATTTTTGTTACTTCTATTTTCCAATGCAGCTTCCTTCATTGTATTGCATGCTACATTGCTAGCAGCAAATTCAAGCTTTTTTTCCAGGAGATCAAATGCTTTCTTAGATAGCACATCTACATTGATAGCAGAACAAAGTTTTTTAGCCGCAGAATGTCCTTTACCATTGATTCTCATACCAAAAACAAATGCAAGATTGATACTATGCAATTTGTTTACTTTCTCGGAAGTGCAGAATGAGTAGGAATAGTTACAGTTTTCACATTTTATAGTCATATTCATAGCTAACCCAAACACAGTCTTGCACAACACTAACTTTTCTTTCAAAACACACACACAGGACAGCATAATAATGAAATTATATTACACAAAATTCCTAAGTTAAAAATAACATTTTTTTCATTTTCTTCTAGACCATCTGTAGGTTTTAAAGAATTCATCAGTTTTGATTCACTCGCAGTTGGAATGCTTGAATCGGTACTAATCTTTTCACTGTCGAAAACTGAAACTCTTTTGCAATACTTATTTCCTTTAAACTGACGTTTACGGGAATAACTTTTATTTTTGTTATTTACCATAATTATAAATAATATTGCGAGCAAATAATTCACTGGTATTCTA